GTAGGGATCACTTATTCCATTCCCCACTGAATCACTAGCAAATGTTACGTTCTATAATCTTTGGACTCCTTGGCAAGGCAGTTTGGAGCTCCGAAGGGCTTGGCAGGATTTGACACCTAGTGGCTGTTCAATGCTGTGTGTCGGAAATTGCGTCCCGCTTGAAAAGACCCCAAGTACCACAGAAAATTACAGGAATTGTAGGACGGGCCAAAAGAGTGACCTACACAATGCTGAGACGCGCCCAGGTAGGAAGACTTGCAAGGCTCATCAGCTGAGGCTTGTGCTGTACACGGTTTCGGCCATGTCCTCCGCTGCAGCTGCCGCTCGCTTGTAGCGCCTGCCACGAAGCAGAAGACTCGACTCGACTCTGGCTGCACGAAGCCCAAAACATAGAATGCAAAAAACTCAGACATGGACAAGCAAGAACACAACTAGGACTGAGCAGTTGTCGCTGCCGCTACAAATTGGGCCAGGCATTCGACAAAACAGAACTCAAGCGACTGCCATCGAACTGTAGTTGCCTTTTTATGTCCTAGCGGTATTCCTATATAGAAATGTTGTCGAACATGCTGCGGTCAGACGGTCAGACATCATCCCAGCGACCTCTGATGTTTGTTTTTGCGCCAGACAGCAAACCTGAAGTTGCAAAGTCGGTCCTCTCCAAGGAATGCAGTCGCGCAATTGGGGACCGTGCCCTTGACTGCACCTGCCCCCGCAAAAAGACTGGCTTCAGGGGTTGTCTGAACGTCCATGAAGGCATCGCCTCTTTGCAACGCACAGGTTTGCAGCTGAGCTGCTCCATGCCGTTCTGGCTGTGCGGCACATTGCATGCCCACCTGTTGCAAAGGGCCGAGAGAGCACTCACTTAACATGTACATGTGCATAAGTAAAGGTCGGTTGCAAAAAAGTTTCTATTACATTAGCTTAGATCATTCTGCACTTAATCACTGGTGCTGCGCAAGTGCAGCTGCATAGTGTCTTGCACAAGTTTCACATTGCCAGCAGCCTGCGCCAGCTCTTCTGAGAGCGCATCCCTCGCCTGGACAGAGTTTCTTGCCATCACTTTCTATTTGCAAGATCTCCAAGAAGAGCCCCTAACCCTGAGAAACCCTCAAAAACAGCAGTCTCAACTACAACAATACTGGTAATCTGCCAGTGTGGAGCCTCAATAAGCGGCAGCAGTGACGATGTGTCCCGCACGAAGGCCACATCTTTTACCACTGCCTTCCCGAAAATGTCATCGAAGAATTTCGCCTGAAACCGGGTTGGCCAAATCAGGGCTTCCAGAAAATTTGGCAATTGCCCTAAAGAGGATTCTGGCTCAAATCCTCCAATCTGCATACCCAGGCTACTATACACGCCTGCATGGTTGGAACTGTTCCCTTGGTAATGGTGTGGAGAGTAATTACAGAAGCATTCTTAGACATCATGTGGATCGATACCAGGTGGACACCTAGAATCCTGCCCTAAAACACCCTAAACAATGTTGTGGCTTCCATATTTTCCATGCCCCTATATATCCCTATTATTATGTAACCCTATACATCCCTACATATCCCTAAATGGGTGGTTGTCAAAATTATGGTCCCTTTTTTGGATCCCTTTTATAATACGGCACCTGATATTTAGGGTACCCAAAAAGGGACCATAATTTTGACAACCACCCAAATAACTTCTGCCAATCCAGGCCCAGCAGCCATCGCAGCCTCCGTGCGGTTGTCATCAGGAATGCCTGCATGGCAGCAAGCTGCAACAAGCGACCCTCCAGGTTTCGATTGCCACATGTCTCTGCAATTCCTGTGAGCTTGAAGAAGCCCTGTCTGGTGCGGACCCTTTTCACAGAGCTGTGTGCGTTGACAATGTTGATATTTGCAGCTCCGCTTCCGTGGAGTGAGAAAAGGTGCGGGCATGGCAGAGCGGCAGGGGTACATAAGGCACAGCAAGAACGCTCACCGCCTTCAACCAGCACAGTGGTGGCTCTTGCTTCCGGCATGCTCGCCAGCCAACCTTGCACAAATGCAGACACCATAGCTGTGTGGTGCGCGAATGGGCCGCGTTTGTGCGTCAGTTTACCAAAGCCATTGTAATGAAACTCTGCTTATGCCACTTGCAGGCACACATAACTCAGTCATGGACGACTTCGTCTGGGCCTGAACTTTCGATGCTGAGCGCGCCACACCTTTTTTCAGGTATGTGAACGGCTGTTTGCTTTTCACGGTTATACTGTTAGTGCAGATACCCGGTTACGCCAATCTCGGCAGCTCACACAAACATGCACATTCAGTTTGAAATGCATCAGCAGCTGCACTACAAAACAACGAGTGACGGCTGAGTGCTGGGCGAGGTATAGCACAAGAAGAACGACGTACCAGACGAAGGCCGCATGAACCCAAAGGATCCAGGATTCAGCGTTGAGATTGCTGAGGCCTTGGCATCGTCAACTTCGTTGACTCCATCTTATACGAATACAATTTACGGCTGCTTGGGGAAAGGGGGTATCCAGAACCGCAGCTGCCTCATGATGCAAGGAACTTTTGGCGGCCAGTCTAGTGATCCTTCTAGCAATCCCACTCGCTGCAGAACTTGACTCTGAAGTGGAGTTGCAATAGCATGGGCGACAAGATGATTTGGTATGTTTCGCTGATCGCAAGCTTCTGAAGGCTTTTATATGCTCTTATCCACTGAGGGTTGCACTATTGAAAGCATTGATGATCAAAGCAAGGATCCGATTTTGCTCAGCTCATCATTAGCTCCGCCCTTTGAGCGTGCGTGCAGAGGCGCCAGCACGGCAAGCGCTGGAAGTCCGATTCCAAACATCACCTTTATTCCATGCGAGGCGTGTCATGGGGCATAAGGTAGGAATGCAACGCGGTTGAAGGTGTCCCTCCTGAGGAACTCAGTCTACCATGATATCTCACCTCAGGACTCTCTGCTCCAGGCACAGAACTGCTAAAGCACATTGATCAGACTCCACACTTGCGGGGGGAAACTGGAGCCTTCATGCTGAGATGGGTGAACTCCAGCAGCATAATCTGGTCCATACCAGCGTGGTCCACGGCATCATCAAGCCTGCTTTGCTGACTGTGTTTAGCTCCTGCAATACTTGAGACATGCTTGCAATTGAGGTTTCCTAGACTGTATCCGGAAAGAAATGGAAGAACCTAACACCACCTAACAAGGACCCGTACCCCAGGCCCTAGACCTTAGCCCTAGCCTGTACGAGACACTGGCCCGAAGCCAGCCGAAGAAGCTGTCTAGCCGAACCGGCACTTCCGGCGTGCTCTTCGACCTCAGGTCACTGCAAGGTCTGCTGAAATTGCAATACTAGCTTCAACATGAGGGTAAATTTAGGGATGCATAAGCAGATATGGGGTTTAGGCTTAGTCTCTAGGGCGTGGGTCCTCGGAAGAAGCGGGTGCTTTGCAAGGTCTCTTGAGGATTTTAGAGGCTGCCTTGACATCAAGCCGTGTTGTTCTTCAAGGCTCAGCTGACCAATCGACGGGCTTTTTCTGGCCCAACTCATCTCTGTGGTAAGGACATTGTAACCCCGAGTACAGGCACTTGTAATTCAATTCACCACATCCCGAGCAATTTCAAAGCTCCACTTTGGGCCTATACGCTTTGCATCCGGTTTGCATCTGTAGACCCCTCCCAATTTCTCCATATCTAGCATGGAAGCTAACGCATTAGCATAGAGCTCTGCACCCCATCAGCATCTAACTCTGCACACCTCTGACGTCCGCTCACACAATCCCCCCAGCATGCTACTGTAGAGCATTTAAGCTTCTCCTCACTCTGGCAAGCGAACTGACACCACGGCGACTGCTTGAGGTTTTCTACAGACGTATTTGCCGAAACGAATTTCCTGCTGCCCCAATTTTCAACCGGGTCTTGCAATTACTTCAATGCACAAGAGAACTTTCACTATGATGGGAAGATGAGTCATGAGTCCTGTCTAAGTGAGGCACAGTCCGCCCTCGTAGACAAGCGGAAACCGCCGGCGCAAGATGAAGAAGGCGATGCAGCTGCTGATGGCAATCAAAACGCTGGTAAGCAAAGCAAAGCCGAAGCTTGCCTGTCAGGGAATCAGGATTTAGGATTTAGGGCAATCTAATGATTCTATGGAAACATGGTAATATTTCAGTTATATGCTGACTATGAAGGTATGACTGTCCAGAGGAGACTGGACTTGTAACTGGGAAGCGGATTTCCCCGGGTAGCTGAAAATGCAGTCAGAGGAGGAAAAACAAGCTATGCCTCCGATCTGAGGACAATCTCTACTCTACAACCAGCCCAATTAAACCAAGTCTCTGTGTCATGAGAGGTGTTCTTCTGGATCACAATCCCGTACTGGTTGTCGCTGACGGCGCGGACGCTCATGTGCTGATGGCTGGGCCGCGGCAAATGCAGGTGTGTCTCAGAGATCAGCGTTGAGGGCTTAGGGTCCGTATCTCCATATACAAATCCTATCTCCGTCAAAAACAACCCCAAAAGGGAAGTTTGCGACACGCTGGTGTCCACCTTCTGTCCTATCTCCCTTGCCCACTGGCAATTTATGTGCTCAAGCTGTTGCTTGCAGCGCGTGTTCCCTTGGGCAAGAAGGGAGTTGCCTCGATCATGTCCTTTGCGTATAAATCTGGATTCATGTCTATCTGGTGAAGCTGCGGGACATATCAAACAGGAACATGCGGTGGTGACTTATCGGCTTAGCCTTCGTGCGCCAACAATGCCTTCGCCAGTCGTGAAGTCCAGCTGAGGCTGATCCAAGGCTGCATCTTCTGTCGCTTTACATGGTCACGCCCAGAACACCCAATCAAGCAGGTCGATGTTGGCGATAAGCAGGTCGAGAATGTGGACAGCTGAGGTTACTGTATGGGAAGAGAAAAATACCCACTCTACTCCCTGACCCTGAGCCTCAAGCCCTGCTCCCTTTCTAAATTCCACTGACCCTTCAAGTAAGGGATTCCCCCGCCCTCCCTTGTCCAGTGCGGCTCAAGCTCTGTGCCAGGACCATGGGGAATATGCCTGGCAGGCGGAGGAATTCTTGGAGGGTTGGGGGTGGACTCAAAAGGTATCCGTATACTTTACTTTCAGAGCCAAAGCCATTTAACATCTCCAATTATTCCGATCATTAATCTACTTACCAGTTTTCCTGACTCTCCAAGCATGACTTCGCCCAGTAGTGCTGTTGCAGCTATCAAGATTTTATGCGAGAAGTCCACTTACCCAGCCTAGAGACCTGATACTACTGGAAGAGGTGGCCACACAGCTCCACGCTTGCCACTAGGTCACTCAGGTTCGTCAGCCCCAACAAGCGTTGAGCACCCGCATGCCAGTGCCCTGTATGGCTTAGGATATCATGACATAGGCCGAGGGGCTGAAGAATACAAAGGTGGCAATCTCCAGCTCGGGATTGCCCTGGGGCACTCTCGTGTCCATGTGGCTGAACATTGAAGATCTGATGTGGCTGATTGTGGCTCAGTTTGATTCAAGATCTTTTGTGGGATCTGTCAGCCGTAGTAGTTACCCACAGGGCGCCCAGGCAAGTTTATCCAGTTTGTAATTTGTAGGCAGCTGTCAACATTGCAGACCATAGGAGACGATCACGACAACAGAGTCGCCACAATATGTGCTTTCTTCGACACCTATCATCATGGCAGCCGTCTGCATAGTGCCTTCTTACGGGTCAGAGCAGCTGAGCTCAGTTATGCTGCAGTAAAGTGATCTCATACTCCGCCCTTCCTCATCTGCACTGCATGGCAGACAGTGCCAGGTGTTGATATGTAACCGGGACCTCAAAATTGGAATCACACATCCTGACTGCCACAACCTACTGCTGAAGGATCCTGGAGGCAAACCGCTACAAGGGTGCCAAATGTGGAGGGAAATGTTGCTCAGAGAGGCAGATCTGCAAAAGATGGGGACTTCAAAAGAGACGCCTGGCCGCTGCTAGATTTGCCTACTTACGCGTAGTCGACCTGCACTTGAAGCCAGAAAGTGGGAGCATCAGAATGCCCTTTCTCGTTCAGCTGTGTGACCTTCACTTTACGCCAGAACAGTCAGACTACAGTACTGTACCGGACAAGAACAAAAGCTGGCCATCCCCTGCGCTCCCGGTGAATCGTTGCCTGACTTTCGCGCAATTCCGTGGTTTCCAAACTCTGAAGCAAGGTGACAGCGAGCCCCTGGCCCCTTCGCAGGCCTGGACTCCTCCTCATCCTGCCCTTTCCCATGCGATGATGACTGACTCTCCCCCGTTTCAAGCTTGTTGGTCGATAGTGAAATGCTCACTTGGTGTGGGTTAGCCTTGGATGAAGGCTCGGAGCTGCATGAGGCGAATGGACAGAATCCCCCTCTCGCCGTCTCACTGTCTCAGCATAAGATTAGGAGTCTCAAAGGCATGCGCTGGATGTTACCGATGTTACTTACCTCACTGTCCCACGCAGACCTAGGTAGGGTTTCGGAGGGCACCCTACTTTGAGAAACGCGGAGATGCGCCTTGCATCGTGTTTCAGAGGAGCTTGTCTTTCTGTGGTCTGCAGCCCAAAAGCCGAAGCGGCGCGTGCTAGCGTGTACAATTCTGGCAGGATTAGGGAGGGGCATTCACAATTCGCTGGCTGGCTGCATTAAGCCTCTCAACAGAAAGAAACTGAGCTTGCTCTGGCCAGACCTTTTCCTGCAGAGGGATCCGAAAACAACACCCCCGGTGATCACTTGAAACTTTGCAACGCCTTGTGGGTCTTTGTTGGTGGCTTCTGAAACAACCATCAGGTAGCCTCATGTTCTGGTTCTTAACATCTTCATCATCTTGAGCCAGAATTTTGAAAGAGCCATGTGCCCGCACCTGCACGATCTTGGTGATGTGCTCGATCGCCTGAGGGTAGCACATACCGAACCGAGTAGGCATCCAAGAAACCCGCCCTATATGACATAGTTCTCAGTTAACCCCGTGTGCTTGTCCAGGTTGCGGGTCCTTTCTGGAAGGTCCTTGTGATGAGACCTACTTTAGTTAGCTTGGGCGCTGATACGCAAACCCTAAGCTGACAGATACACACTCAACTAAACCTCCTCCTGCTAAAGCCCTCACATTGTTGCATAGCATATCCACCGACCAGCAGAGCCTTGAAGAAAAGCCAGTACATGAACCACCAGAACGAGATACCTGGCATCAGGGTCATCAAGCTGGGCCAAGCTGATGGGACCGGATCTGCGGAGTGTAGGTGGGTTGGTGGGTGGGTGGGTTGGGAGGAGGCTTCGTATGCCCCGCAAAGCTTGACAGGCCGAACGCGTACCCTGATGCCCAAAGGGATACCGAAATTGGAATGCTCCAACAATGGACCCCAGCAGGGCATTAGTTTGGGGATTCACATTCGCATCTTTCTGGACAGCCGGAATACCCTCATCGGGGTCCTGGGCGAATACCAGAATGATGGCGGTATTTTGCTTCTTCAGCATTTCCGAACTCCAATCATGCAGGGCATAATCTGGACATGCTTGGACAAGCTCGGCATGAGTGCTAAGCGTGCTGGCTGTGATCCTTTGTCCTGCTGTTGACAACAATTGCAGCCAGACTCCAGGTGAGCACCGGACGTCCTAAATCCTCAGCCATATAGTAGAGCCTCCCAGCAGACCGACGGTGACGCGCGCGGCGGACTCGCTGTCCGCCTTCTCAGAACAGCAGCAGTCGGAGTATTAATAGCAGCCTCTGTTGTAGTGGTAGGAACAGTAATAATAGAATAGATTCGAGCGGTGGGCAATATTGCTTCTTCCCAAACGGGGTTCCATAACTGCATTTTCCATTCTGGGCACTCGCTATATGGCTTTCCAATCGACATGCTGAATCCTGGCTCAAGTTATGAACAGCAGCGATCGACTGTTGTTTTGGATAAGTAGGGAACTCACATGAATGTTGCAGGTCGCGGGGCCCATCACGAAGCAATAGTCCGAACAAAACCTTAAGACTAACAAAGTCTTCGAACTTGTAACGCTGAAGTAAACTATGAACCACTTTTGGATAATTTTGACAATCGTTCTGGTGTCGTAATTTTATCATCGTTCTAATCGCTGGTCTCGGAACGGGATCAAAACACACCCACAACCAAATGATTGAACTATATCTATATCGCTTCCCAGCCGCTGCGACACAGCTCAAGCCACATCAATCCGAAAGACCCACGAAGACTACTCCAAGAGGCGGAGGATTTTGCCTATTGCTCAGATGGCAAAAGTAATGATAGCAGCAATATTAGAAGCAGTGGCGTACGGGTCCGGGGTTGGGTGCAGGAGGTCTCCCAAGTAAGGTTGAAATTGGCGACCTTGCAAAAACCAGGTTTGTTTGGCCCTTCGTCAAACAAAGCTCCTCTATTGGACCCAACTGATAATAGAGATGTGTATGTGTGTATACGAAAACATATATATATATATATATGTATACACACTCACAAATTTGTTGGACAAGGTTCTTCATATACTTGGAGCTTGCAAGAGAAACAAACGACTTGAACACTGGCAAGAATTGCGACATCAATCAATGCCAGCTGCAGCACGTAGCAATAAAAACCTGCATAAGAAATTTCAGGGTGTTGGAAGGGTTGATGCCCCTTAAATTGTAGTCTCCATTTTCTTTTCCATTATCCAAATATAACTCCTATATAACCCCATAATCCCTAGAATCCCTATATTCATAGGTTCCTTAGCCCCCCCCCCCCTCAGCCCCCCCACCAAACTTAAATCCTTTCAGCAGCACATGTCCGAGAGATGCAGAGAGTC